CTCCCCTTCTTCTCTTCCATCTTCTGCGGCTGGGCTGCTGGCTGCTGCTGCTGCAGTGGCCGCACCCGAGGAGGATTTCATCCATCCTGCCTTTGATCCTGAGACCTGTGCTCCTGAACTGAGCTCCAGCTTCCAGCTCCTGTACCCGGTCGCCGAGTCCAGCCTGGGACCCTTCCGGGGGCTGCTGCGGGCCGGGGTGAGGGTGACGTATGCCATGGGGGCTGGGGTCGGGGCTGGCTAGTTTATTGTCACTATTAGTACTAGTGGTAGTATTAAAGCTGTTTTCTTTCCTTTTCTAATCAAGTCTCTCCCCCTTATTCCCTTTCTCTCTCTCTTTCAGGGGTGGGGGAGGGGGTTAACAGAGCGTCTGTTACGGTTCTGGGGCTGCCCTGACCCAAGTCTGCAGCAATGGTTTTAAACTAAAACAGGATAGACTTAGACTAGATAGAATGGAGAAATGTTTTACAATGAAGGTGGTGAAACACTGTAACAGGTTTCCCAGAGAGGTGGTAGATGCCCCATCCCTGGAAACATTCAAGATCAGGTTGGATGGGTCTCTAGCAACCTGATCTGTTGAAAGATATCACTGCCCTCTGCAGAGGGCTTGGACTAGATGACCTTTAACGGTCTCTTTCAACCCAAAACATTCCATCATTCTATGAGTCACTCAGTCATTGCCCCCTGTTCCCCTGGGCTCCTGGCCTCAGGAACATGTCTGCAGAGTCTCTGCAGCACTCTTTAGACACGTCTGGTCCCTGTTGGGTTAGGTTTGGTGTCCTGGGAAGGGATCTGCTCCCAGAGCCCAGCACATCGTGCTGTGCCTCAGCTGAGGAACCCGGCCAGACCTTGCCCGGAGCCAGCTGAGCTCTCTGCATCCATGGCACAGTTAATCTGCACGCAGAACTCCTGAGTGACTGGCAACTGGAGCTTCTCTTTATCTCCCTGTAGAATTGTCAGTCTTGCCAGTTTTGCCTTGGCCATGTTTTCAGAAGGGGGCTGTCCAAGTTGCTGAGCTGTGCTGTGCTCCATATACTCACCAGCACCAAGGTGTGGGCATCTCAGTGGCCCAGCCAGGACCACTTAGGTGCAAGAAAGATGGTGTAGGGGACTGACGTGGATATGGAGATCTCAATAAGAAAGGCCTTGCAACAAATGGCTTAGTAAGAGAGCTGGTTTAATAAGAGAGAACAAAAAGAGGAATGCAGACAGTAAATCTGACATCCCTTCAGACACTGGGCATCCGACAGGGCTAAGCTTTGGGTGCTTTGGAGGAAAAACCTGCTCTGCCACTGGGAGAAGTTTCTTTCACAGAATAAAACTCTGTTTTCTGCCAGTGAAGCGTTATCAACACTTTCAAACTTACAGGCAGGTTGTACAATCATTGGAGTTCCAACTGGAAACGTCTCTCAGCCCTCACTCCAGGAGAGCTGCTGTGGGCGGGCTTCTGGAGAGAAGTCACTTGGTGGTAGCAAGTGCAGTTCTTGTCTCTCCGTTTCCTCTGACATCAGCCTGTGCTGCAGGAGCCGGGGGTGTGTTCGGCCCCGGGGCTGGAGCCCTGTCTGCAGGAGCAGGAGCGGAGGAGGACAGCACCAGAGAAGGGGCCCCGGGGAGAGGAGGAGCCATGTACAAGAAAAAGCTGAGAGGGTAAAACAAACGTTGTTGACTAAAAAAAGAACCTCCTGGCTTCAGCTCTGTGTCGTTGTTGTTGCTCCAGCCCCAGGGGCTCCTGCTGCCAGCGCAGGGGGTGCGCTCTGCCCCTGGCCTGGGGAGGGGGGGCGATGCTGGGGCCAGCGCAGCCCACCTGGGACCTGCCTGCCCGGCTGACTGCAGAGGGTGAGCTCCACGCTGAGCTCTGAGTCTGCCGGGGAAGTTCCTGCCAGTGTAAAACTGAAACTAGATCCATGAGATGGCGGGGACGAAGGGTGCTGGTGACTAGTGGAAGGTGGGGATGGGCTGGGCAAGGGCAGGAGCTGCCTCACCCCAGCGCTGGGCAGCAGGAGGATCCAAAAGTGCCTCTCTCTCTCCTCTGCTCAACTCTTCCGAGGTCTATGAAACAGTTGTTGTGCCACAAAGTAAACAGGAAGTATCAAAATGGACATTTTCTGTCCAACAAAGGGGAAAAAATGTTTTAGTGCAAAGGCCGGTAACGAGGTGTGTTGGCTGTGCAAAGTATTGGCAAGGGAGGAAAAACTCAGATTAAAGAAAATGTGATGCATCTATGCTCATCTCTCTTTAGGTATTACCATTATTACTATTATTACTTTGCATTGATTAGAACTTCAAATAGTTTCTAATAAAAAGTATTAGAGGAAGGAAGGAAAATGATTATATATCTATAATGGTGCAATTCATTATGCAGAGTTTTAGTAAGAGAGATATTAGTTTTTGGAGCTCTTTTTGTAAAATCAGTCCATTTAAAACTGAACTCATTGCACTCCAGGTCATGGATGATGGGACAATAGAGAAGGTGTAAACAACAGATTTGAAAATATACTTCTAATCAATACACTTTCAAGTTTTAAGGCATATTTGTGTAGCAGCTGCATATTAATGGGAAAGAAAAGAGAACCTAGAAGACAGTTATGTTGGCTGCCATCCCTCTGCTGTTTTCTCCCCTAATTCCACTAAACATTTTTGTGTGCAGATGTTTCAAATAGTCAGTTTTTACTGTTGGTGTATTTCTCTCCAGCTCTTCAATTCTTAAGGAATTATAAATTCACCTTCAAGAGACTGATGAACACAATTTAGAGATAAATGGAAAATGTTTTAGGACATTTAAAAAAATTTGCTAACTCTAAATTTTGTCTCATATTTATATCCAGCAACTAGCTATGAAGTGTGTGTGTTGTTTTTAATTAGGCACTGTGTTCTGTACATAACAATGCTGAGCAGCAAGGACTGTTGTGATAGCTATAAAAATAAACAAATCAATAAAGTGATTGCACAGCATTGGGCAGGTTAGCTGTAAACTCACAACTTAAGTGTACTGCAAGATTGTTGTAAAGAAATGGCCTGAAAATATGCACAGGATGCCCACTGCAGTGGTTTATCCAAAGTGCAGTGTTTTATGGTGCAGACACAGTGCTTAAGAGCAGTTTAAGTGAGACCTAGAAATTTTAACTTGTCTGTCTGTTATAATCAGCTGGCAACAGCCACAAAAGCCTTTGACCAAATCAGATTTCTGCAGCCTGTTATGACATTGCTTTCCAAAACCTCAAAGCTACCTTCTGTAAGAGTTAGATGAACTGATCTGACTCGAGGATTGTGAGTTCAGTGGATTTTCTTTGGTGAACTGCAACCACTGTCACAATATTCTCTGCATACACACACACATTTTATCTCTATATAATGTGTGTATTATACACCTATAGATGTTCCCTAATCATCAACTTTTAAATAAATTTAACCTAATACCCACTAACTTCCAAATAACGTAATAGAAATAGAAAAAATACATCACTTAACACCTCAAATTAAAAAAAAAAAATAAAATTAAGCCTGTGCTTCACTTTTGTCTCACTCTGGTGGTTTTTGTTTTTTTTTAACAACATACTAAAGGAATTAAGTATAACAAAAAAAGTAATTCCTGCACCAGGATTAAACATCATGATTAAACATTTGCTACCTTTATATAAATTCGAGAGGAAGTCTGATAAAGAAATCCGTGTGAATAATTTCTGTGGTTTATATACACATTTAAATCATGGAAATCTCTATATGAAACAGTTGTGCAAGGCTATGAGGTGCTACTGGTGACTTCATATATTATTTATGTAGCATGGATAATTACTGATGTAAAGGGTACATTCATGACCAAGAGCAGCAGTCTTTGTATGTTATTTAATTGGCAATATTTAGAGTCTGTTCTGAACTGAATAGATCTAGATCTAAGAGATGGTTTATCTGTCAAAAAATGTCATTCTTGGGGGCTGCATCTTTTTGTATAGAGCACTTTTTCCTTCTCTTGCATAGGATTGTGCTGACTGTGCTAATCCTTATGAAAATAAACAGCAAGAGAAGCAAATGAGGAGAAGCAGAATACTCAGCTTCATAATTTATCAGTGGTGCCTTGCCTTGCCTTGCCTTGTTTTTACAAAATTCAATGACTCCCTACATCAGAACGGGCTACGTAGGAGCCCTGGAAAAACAGCTGACATAAAAAGACACGAAGAGCTTTTAGAGCTCTGCTGGCGAGGGAGGTGATGGCCGTGGGGAGGGGTGGAGGTGCTGGGAGCTCTGCCTGCAGGGTGAGGGTGCTGGGAGCTCTGCCTGCAGGGGTGAGGGTGCTGGGAGCTCTGCCTGCAGGGGTGGGGGTGCTGGGAGCTCTGCCTGCAGGGGGGAGGG